TTGGAGGACTACCTTTATGAGTAAATGAAGAGTGTAGAACTTTTTTTTACCTGATCAAATCTATAGACAGGTCAAACCACCAGACTAATTCTCATATCGATATATTCATGAAATAATTTATGAATGTTCGGATATTCTTAAAATAAAACCTAATGCTCATTGCATGCATATTCTAAGGTAATATATAATCAAAATGACTTTAAATGGCATTTTTAAAATCATTCTACCACCACGTCCAATTTTTAAAATATGTGCAAAACTGAATCAGACTAACTAGTATCCAAAAAGTGCAGTAAGCACGAGAGACCAACCATTAATAAGAGGATACTTAATCATATTCCTACAAGGAGTAGTTGAAGGGTATGAATAGTCGAATATGATCCACAAACTTGTATTGTGAACCCTAAAACCCAATAACTCTCGCATAGATTAATTAGCTATTTGACACACATCTACATATAACATCTAGAGCAAATTAAAACTTCGACTTAGATTCTATGGAGACTCTCCTTACAACCTATAGTGTAATTCCTATCATCATAATTGGGACAATTCAAATCCTCATAAATTATATACAAATACATAGCTTTTGTTGGCCCCCTCTAATAGTAGAGCTACAAGCACTAACTTAGACTATTTATTTTCCTTAATGATAGGGCGTTAAAACTCGATATCCTTGTTGGGCCACTCATATATCAAAATTTTAAACCCTAATTTGATAGATTGGACTCATCGAAAGGATTGAAAGTCTAAACTTTTGGGTTTCCCTTATATCAAGGTTTTAAGTCCTACCTTCAGTACTTAAATAATTAAAACTCAACCCTGGTGAACCTTACTAATACACAATTAGTAGGTTTGTCATGCTAGCTACGCCCTTGAACCTTCATTGATATTAAAGTTATAAGTCTTCTCCTCAAACATTTCACACTCTTGAGGGAAGACCTACTCACAGACCTCTCTAGTATCATAATTGTAAGCTCAAGCCTTTTTTGAGATCAATCTTCTACAAATCATCCAAAATCATTCACCAAATGTAAGCCATGGTTCCTAATATAGAAATCCATCTAAGACAAAATTAGTAGGTTTATCAAGCTAATCACACATACATTAAACCTTCTCTAATATTAGAGTTAAGTCTAATCCTCAAACCTATCACACCATTGAGGGTGTAATACCCAATACTAGGCCTATCTAATATCAAAATTGTAAGCCCAAGCCTTTCAAGAGCAATCTTTTAAATTCCCCCCTTTGGATCTAAGCCATGCTTCCTAATATTAAAACTCATCTACTTAGATGAGGCCCATACACATCAAAGCAACCACCACTACTTTGTACCATGCTAGAGGTATTCATTCGAGTAAGCCAAACTCTCACCCAAAACTCAGGTTAACTCAAAGCTCCCTTCTTGAAGCTACCTATGGATTATTACAATTTCATCTACCACACAATCCAATTGCCTTAGAAGTAAAGGATAGACCCTTAAGAGGGATCACTATCAAGAAAAAATCCAAATTCTTATATAAACTATGGCCTCTTCATAAAGCCAAAGACACCCATATGCTCTAACATACACCTCTTTCAAGATGGATCTACCATTCATCCCAAGATCATTGAATGGATCATATCACAACTCTGAGATAGAGTTAGTTTGTCTAATCTACACGGAGCTATGCTTCATGAATTTGTGCCAATTTAAATATGAACTGATCAAGCGAAACCATTATATCTTAAGTACTCGAGCACTCACACCAATGAACTAGTGTCAACCATACTTGTACACTTGGAGCCTTCTCAATTCAAGGAGAGTCACTAGACCTCACTATGAAAGGATTTGTACACTAGGGGCCTTCTCAATTCAAGGAGAGTCACTAGACCTCACTTTGAAAGGATAGAACCCTTTAACATATTATAATTATAGTCTACTAAAGATATCAAAGAAAAGACATATCATGGTTATTAATCAAACACCCAGCTTATATAGCCCTAAATCATTTGTCATTGATAGATTGGATCCAACAAGTTAACTCGGAACAATAAATCATGGCATCTAAATTGAGTTGACCTAGGGATATTGTTGTTCTTCTTATGATAGGTTGAAATAGTGGCAGGAATATATGGCTTAGAGATCTTATTAAACTCCTTAGTATTGATGTATTTTTTTTCTTCTCTGAATTCAAACATGATCTAGTGGGTTCTTGGTGACTGAATTTGAATCAACCATTCTTTAACTCCTAAATTATGGAGGGATCTGACACCTCCAACATTTCTTTAATGAATCGAGAAATAAAGGCTTGAAAGGAATACTTCACTCCCAACATATTACAAAAAAGAGTTTGGCAGCTCTATCAAGGAACCTGCTAAAAGACAATAGTGGTGGGTTCTTGAAGGATTGAGAGGTGTTATTGGGTTATGATGTGTGGATGTGAATGAGTTGATTGCGAGTGATTAGTGGGATGCCTAGATAAGTTTTCAAGTAAATTAGTAGGAATTTTATTGGGTATGTTGTGTATGAGGAGGCTTCTATGCGTAAGGTCTACTATAGGTTTTTATTAAGTTGAGATGCCAAGATGTCAGTTAGGTGATATAAAGTACTAACAATTATTTAATTCAATTGATATTTCACATCTTACATCAAATTGTATAACTTGGCATAGGTATGATAAACTTGATCACAGGTAGCTTTTAAGGTGTGTAATATTTTCATAAGGGTTACATCAAGATCCTTTAACACATTAGGTTTCTGTGATGATCCATTAGGTTTCCATGATGAACCATAAAAAAATATTTAGAGGGAAGGTTCAAGAGAAAAAAAATGGGGGTCTTATGCACTGTTAATCACCCAATAATAAAATTCTACATAAATAAACTCAAGTCAGCTTCATCTTTAAAAGGATATTATAAAAACTTGAAGTTTGATGTAAATGTATTGGTGTATCCTTCAATTTATTTTTGAAGAAATTGTGGATCTGCTTTTTCTCCAATACCAATTAAAAGAGAGTAATGGTGGATTCATTAAGCTTCAGATGTACTGTTGGATTATGATGTTGTATGGAGGCTAATGGGTTGATTATTGGTGATTGATGGTTTACCAAATTAGGGTTTTTAAGAGTAGCCTGGAACAAGCAGAAGGAGGGCAGAGAAAATGCTATTAAAAATAGAAAATATATATGAAGGTGTCACTAAAGATCTTAAAATGGAGAAAAGAACCACCAAGCCACTTCCAAAGAGCACAAGGATGATTGAAGCTATCAACAAAGAACATCAAGAAAGAAGAAGCCATCAACTATTCTAAAGCAATGTTAATTTTAAGGTCTTGCCAAAGGAACTTCATGACAGAAGAAATCCTTCTTCAAATTGCTTGAAACAAAGCAACAATACTTATTTCTCTCATGATTGATCAAGGTTACGTAGCATTTATTTATATAAAGCATTACAAAATAAAACTTGAAATATAATATTTGTAACTTGAAATACAATATAATCATTAATAGGAGTGGTCGGCCATATTAATTATTGAAGGTTTAAAAAACAATACATAATATAATATTTAGTTTCAGTTTCAAATGAATAGAGGGCCAAACACAATAAATATGAAATAGAGTGTTAGAATTAAGCATCTGAATAGATTGAGAGCAAAGGCCACTTGTCAAACACTACATGAAGTGCCATCATGACCTCAAATTCAACAAAATATTTTGCCGCATTAGTTAACCCCTAAAAGGAGTCTAACTATAGAATTTCGAGTATTGGCAATAATGGCATCTCAAGGATCTCAACAGTGAAAGATGCCTTGTTGTTAGTATACAAGATGAAGATTTAAATGTTGATTTCTTTGATGGTCTTAAAGCATCCACATCCACCACAACTCAAGAACAAATCAAAAAAGGTATATAAATAATATAGTTTTCTTTTCTTAAACTTTTATTAATGTATTACACTATTATTCATTATGATATTGTTCAAAAATTTTTACTATTTAGGGAAGAGGAAGATAACTAATAATGAGGAAGAAGAAGCTGATTGGGAGATATTGGACTCTATAGGAGAGGGGGAAGAGGAGAGAGCAGCTCATCATAATGATGATTCAAATGAAGACCCCCTTAGTGATGACTGATGAGTGATGATAATGCTAATGACTAGTGAGTTCGTAACTTCTTATGTGATATGTTAATGTCATTATTATTTATCTTGTGCATTTTTATGTTTTATATATTATTTACTCATTAGTATATACAAAATTTATTATTTTATGTTTACGCAATTTTTTGATTTTGAGGCTTACGCCTCAAATCGCCTTGAGGCTTACGCCTCACGAACGAAAAACGCCTCAATACCCGAATACGCAATTTTAAACCTTGCTTTGAACCGAGCAAACTGTGGTCCATCTAGCCTGGTCCTACAACTATGGTTCATCCAGCAAACTAACCAACTATCATTTAGGCTCTTGCACAAGCACAATAAGGATCATATCCTAGAAGGTGGTGTATTTGTTGTTGCACAAGTAGTAAAGAAAGTTGAATAATTATTTTTTTCAACAAATGCAGTTTTTCATATTAACGATAACAAAGAAAAAACAATATTATTATTTTATATTCTTTTTTTTTTTAAGAAGAAACTCCCACTCTTCCAAAGCAATATCATTGGTTTCTATCTCTTGTTTATTTTAAGGAAGCAGAAACTCCCACTCTTAATGCGGTTAGCAACAATGAAAAGCATCCTTTCCTCACTAGAAGATCCCAATTTCATAACTAGACGTTCTGCCTCTGAAAAAAAAATAAATCCTTGAGGTTTAGGAGCTAATTATCATTCAGCTCGAATAACGCATAGGGACAGTAAACATTAATTATCATTCAGCTTAATCACATAGAAATATAACTTCTAGACCACATACATGCATGCAATAACTGAAATGTTTTAGATGCTTTAAATAAATGTTCTAAGAAGATAAGTTTAAGCTTAAAGGCATTTTTCTTCACAGTACATAAATATTAAAAGCATACCTGAACCAAGAACACATCTAAAGCTAAAACAGGACTCTGGCCTGGAGGTATACCCTGGTAGTATGGAACTGCTGAGGAAGTAAGGGCTTTGGCAACCAATAATCCAACAGTAGCTTGCATGCCAAGAATTGAAGCACCCATTCCGAGAATATTAACAAATATGCCATTTCGCAAACTTTTTACCACATCAGCACGTGGAGGAGCCTGTATTAAAAAGTTAACAATAAGACATGACCTCCTAGGTCAAATGACAATTCGGTGAGGGGTATTTATGAATGATCCTACTAAAATAATGTAGTCAACCAAAACATGAAACATTTAGTCGATAAGGAGAACAGGGATAGGAAATAGAAAGCATGCACATGATAACGTGCACAGTGGCATGACAAAGAATGTGACATAGAGTTGGTAGCCAAAGGTTTGTAGAAAAAGTTAAGCGAGGAGGAAGACATGGAAAAGAGGGAAGAAAAGAACAATCAACCACACAACAGAGAGAAGCGTGAAAGAATTATTTTCATTTTAATAATAACAAATAAGTACAACATACCCTGAATCTCTATTTGCAAGAAAAGATTTTACAAAATAAGGTTAAATAATCAAACACATCATAATCTGACAAAGAACATATTGTCCATGACAATCAATCAACATGAATACAAATAAAAATTAAACATGGACTAAGAAAAAAATAAAATACTTATAAGACTAAAATACTAAAATGCATGCATGTTGTACACACCCTCCTAAGGTGCAAAGAAATCTACTCCAGAGAGTTTGAATGTTAGGATAATAACTAGAAACTCTTCTGTTGAAATGCTAAAATAGCAAGATTCATCCCATTAGGAACACATCCCAAAGAAGAAGAGATGGAGGAAGCACAACCCAAATAAGAAGAGATGAATGAGCCACTGTCTCAAAGAGAAGAAAAATAAAGGGTTCAAACATCACTAATTATAACACATCCACAGAAGCACACAATTGTAGATACTCTTAAAACAATCAAACATTTTTGAAAAACTAATTGTAATTATATAACTTCTGAATCAAGTTGCAAGAATTAAAAAAGAATGATTGTGTAAGTGGGAAAAATCCAAATGTTTTTTTTTTTTTTTTTTTTTTTTTTTTTTTTTTTGTATTTTTCTTCTTTTGGTCATGGGAAGGTATAAAAATATTTATAGATAATAATCATAAAAATATCTCATAACATTTATATTAAAGTAAACATTCAAATATCATAGAAAATGATAATTTCCTCATCATAGATATCACTAATAATGTTTAAGTAAATGATCAAAATGGTCATTAAACTATTTAGATTTTTTCATCTCATGCTTCTCTTATTGTCCAATTTAGTGGGGCAAGTTATTAAATCCTAACATTTAGATCCTTCAAACATCTAACATGTCCAGAATTGATAGAAGTTGGTAGCGGGAGTTTTGGATTGAAGGCAATGTTTATCTTTCAAGTTGAATAATGACTGAGGGATCCTCTATAATGATGAGTTGCACAAATCAAAGAACAATTACGAGATAGTTGGTATCTTCTATAGTGTTAGCACCTGGAAAGAGTGGTAAGAGAGTCAAAATGCATTTATAGCATTGAGAATTGATCGATCAGTGACCAATCACAAATGCTTCTCATATTTCTATTTTCATATGGGATCGGCTGACTCTTAATTGGAGTAGCCCTTCATCTATAATGACAATAGATCCTTTGATGTTAAACGGCAACTAGAAAGTCAAGTAGCAGAGCAGACAAAAATGACTGAATTAAAAAGCTTACTTTATGGTAGGGAACTTGGAGGGACAAGTTTTGTACCAAATCTCATCTACACAAGTAAGAGATTAATAATACCCTTAACATTGCTTCCCACGCCAACTATCATCAATTTTAGATGGACATGCAGCTTGCAAGACAAAAATATAAAGATTTAATAAGTTAAAGACTAATTTGTGTGCTAGTTAAAGATTAATATGTGTGCTAAAAAAGATATAATCTCTCACTCAGAACCTTCATATATATAAATGTTGTGCAATTAGTTCATATTCAAAGTTTGATTAAATTCATATTTTTGTTTCAGTTCATAAATTATGAAAGATATAATTTCTCACATGTTGTGCAATCATGGTTTAAAATTGCGCAATATGAGGCTAGCCTTGAGGCCCGTCTTTGCGCAATTTCAGTGAAAAGCGCCTTGAGGCTTACGCCTCAAGTTTTTTTTATGAGGCTTGCGCCTCAACTTGGTTGAGGCCCACCTTAAGGCTCGCATCGCCTCACACCAGGCTTACGCCTCACCCGATATATATTAAAACTTACATAAATCTTGAAGTAAAGACGCAAATAAATCACACTTCGTGTACCCCCCTAGTCGCAGCAACTTCCTCTCAACTTCCTTAACCTCTAACTCGTCGCCATTTTTTAACATATTATTTGAGTATTATATAAAAATTTACTTTTAACATTTATTTGCACTTAACACAATTTTTTTATTATGAGGCTCATGCCTCAAAATGCCTTGAGGCTTACACCTCGCCTTACAAAAAAATATTAGAAATGACCTTTCTTTATTAGATTTAAATGAGAATTTAACTATTAATAGGACACAATGAAGAAAAAGGATTCATATAGTTGATCCCACATAGTGGGATATAGACTTGATATTGTTGTTGTTGTTGAGTAATCTATCATTCCAAATTATGTCACACATCTATCTTAATATTCTCATTCACACTACAATAAACTAATCTATCAATGACTTCTTTACTCCAAAACACTCATATACATACAACATAATTGACCTAATGATAGTTTATAAAATTTACTTTTAAGTCTCCATTATATCCCTTTATTGCATAATATTTCTAGGAGAATTTTACAATTGAACCAACCAGTCATAACTCTAGAAGTTAAATCTTTATTTATGTCCACATTATTTGATATAATAGATCAAAAATATTTAAATATATCACACATAAGTATCCTTTTATCTTCTACTAAAATCATTGATAAATGGTAATAAAATATGTACTATGTTGTATATCATAAGTAAATATTTGTTCCACTAATCATAAGCTTTTTTATCATGTGAATATCTTTTTCATTGTTTTAATATTTACAAAATGTCTTTGTTTTAAACTGAAATCTTATTAATATCACTTTTAAATACATTTAACTTAATTATTAGTTCTAGTTCTTTTATCTCTAGCCTTAACCACTTAATATATCTCATTTTCTACTTTCTTAATATATAGCCTATTATATAAATCATAAAAATTTATAGCTTTTGCGCTATAATTACCTTTTTTCCCTTATAATCATTGCAACTCCCAATAATACTTACTTTTTTCATTGTTTAGAGTGAATGTTTTTGTCAATAGTTAAAAAACATCTCTTTTCCATAATAATTTTTATAACTTCGCACATACTATTTATTTCTAAACTCTCCCAAAAGTCCTACAACAATTTATTAAAGAGCAAATGAACTTATCCCACATTAAGTTTGGCTCCGATTTGATTCTCTCAATAGCTTATCTTGGAGGATTAAAAGCTTCTCACATTCAAAGTTCCACAATCTTACCTTATTATGTCTTTAAATTGTTTGATTTATACTCTTAAAAAAATAAATTCATACAAAAAATGCATCAATTTTCTGTAGTCATGATTTTGAAAACCGAACTGGATCGGCCAACCATGAACTAGTCATATGGTTGGTTTGATCCGTCTTAAAAATCTCTCCAGCATCAAACAGTGTGAACCAATCAAAATTGTCGATTCAACCGGTCAAAACTGTTGAACTAATCCTGATTTTTAAGAACCGACCAGTTCAATTGCTATCTCAGTTAAATAACTAAATAAATTAATTTAATAGAAAATATAATATTAAATATTAAATTAAACATTAAATTTAGTAAATTAATTTAAATATAACATATTTTAATTTTATAATGAGTATTAAATTTTTATAATGGTCATTACCAACTAAACACCAATAAAATATACCCACATGATTCCACCACCCCATGTGAAATCCTAACACATGCAAACAAAAAAAAACTATATAAATAAAATTAAACAAAGCTCCCACGTGATGTGGGACTTAAGAACTTAAAATAAAATTTTTTACTTCAAAGAACATACATTATATATTTTTAAACATTTATTTATTATTTTTTAATAATGGGGATAATAATTATTTTGTTGGTTAATTATATTTAATTGTTTATCTTTTTTTTATTTTTTAAATATATATTTTTAAAAATAATGTTATTTATTTATTATTATAAATAATCTAAAATGAATGATTTACATATGCAAGTTTATGATGTGAATTTAGTATATAATTTATAGTTGTAAATTTTATCTAAATATATAACATAAATTACATAAATTTGCAATAATCTTTATTAAACTTATAAGTTTACATGTAACAACAACATTAATAATATCAAGTCTTTATCCCACTATGTAAGTATAAATTTATATGTATTAAATTTATTTTTTAATCATAAATTTATATCATTTTATAATTATTAAATCATTTATTTTTATTTAAATAATTTTAATATTTATTATGTCATCCGGTTCAATCCCAATCGAATCGGTGAACCTTAAACCTCTTCTTTTTTTGTTCGACGTCTGGTTCAGTTTTCACAATCTTGCCTGTAATCAGTCAAATTTTTTGATTAACAAAAGCATGACAATCCATCCACCGTATCCATAATGCAAAACAAAATCAAAAGCTAGCAACCAAGTTATTTGGTGTGAATCCTTTATAAAGTCTAGTGACTCACTAACAAAAGATCAATCAATAGAATTTCCAAGAAATAATTTATATAATAAAAAATAAGTGATAAGTGGAACATTCTCCCAAAAATATTACTTCAATATTAATAAGTATCCTAGTAGTGAAACGAAGCATCTGAACAAAATAGCTACAATGCAATATTTCCAATGGAGTTTAAACGCAGTACATTATTCCAGTCTGGCGCAGGCCTCTGGTACTTTTACTGGCCATGTAGAGCTGATGCTAGCTCTGACAGTTCAAGCACTGCTAAACAACGAGAGAGCAGTATTGGAAATAAAGGAAAAGGATTTTTTTCTTGTAGTTTCCCCTTAATAAATTGTTTCTATACTAGTAGATGCATAGCCATAGCAAGGCCAACTGGATGCTTAAGCTTGGGTGTGCGTTGAAAGTGGCGTAGACTGCAGCCATTGAATCTGCATGCATAGATGTTAAGCATAAAGGCATCATATGCAATATGGAAGACCAACAACACAACTTGTCACTCTCGGATCCTCTCTTTGTTTTTTGAGAATGCAAATGGTTTCTACTATTTTTAATCCAGGGAAACAAAGGCGTTCGCTAGGAACTGTTGGTCATTATGACCACCTTTCAAGGTGAAGATCATCCGAAAACTATGGCAACATTTCTCCTTTCCTTTTTTTTCATTTATATCCTCCAAACATTTTTTTTCTATTTTCATACCATTTATCACCTCCATGTCATACTAATTCTGAGATAGCATATTTCATGTTGTTAAGTGATATTTAAATCTCCTGCAATGCAAATAATCTTCATGAACACAGATGTTTCAGTACTGCAGGTGAATCTATTGATCGCTAGAACGTGTAGTTGCAAATCATCTTAACTTCTTCACCAATCTCAAAGTAACATCATTATATCACCAACAAATGATTCACCTTATCATATATCAGTTTGCCAGAACAGTATCGAGCCAAGCAAGTATTCATGTTTATGAGCATAAAGATGTATGTAAGCATGGCAATATTACAGAAATAATTAATCCGTGTGCTTTAATGGAACAGAATTGATTCAATGCCCAAAGATTAGTTTATAAAAAGAATCAAAGCTATGATAATAAAGCATATCATATTAACTAAAACCATCATGGCAAGTGGTGACAATGCTGAGGTCAGCCAATAAAAAATTAGGCAAGGTCAGTGCACATGGGAGTAAGCTGAACAGGTATAAGTAAAACAGATTTCACCTTTGTAGGGTCATTGGCTGTCTTACGAAGTCTTTCTGAAAGACGGATATAGCCAAAAGACCAGAAGACTGATACAAATGCAGCTGCAATGCCTCCAGCTGTAGCATAAAACGTAACTGGGGAGGTGACTTTCCCAGTAACGATGCTGGAGAATGATATTATTACCGCTGAAACAACAGTACAAACCAGTTGTCCCCAAAAACCAAAACTGCCCAGCCGTTTGAAGTATCTTGAAGTATTCTCTAATCTCTTGGAAACCTGCAAGATCAGCAAGGAACTAATGAGAAGGCAACAGACATGGATCTCTGAGACTGCATTAGCTTAATCAAGCATGCAATCTTGATGAACATTGTAACCAAAAAGTACAGTTTTCATACAATAGCATCCTAAACTTCGACTCCTGTTATGATGGCACTCCGATCTCATTACTAAGAACCCATTTGGCTGGCTACTTGAAGTTAAAAACATGTTATTGATATAATGAAAATTTGCTAGTTCCGTCAATCGGTGTGAAGTAAAAATTAACATTATCTTTACATGCTAGAAACCCTTTTAAAATTTTCAAAAATATAAAAACTTTGATTTCACACACAAAATGAGTGAAAACAAATAATCATTTTTCAAAATATACTTTTTATCTACAAGCATTTAATGAATCCCTACGTAGCTATCTTTCTTATCTAAGAAATTAGGATGACTATCTTCAAAAGTTCATTCACTAGTTGTATCAGATTTCCTTCTTTGTTTTGTAGGGGAGAAGTAGGTAAGATTTGCTAGAATGTCACCCTTATATGACGCCCCACAATTTAATATGATTATGATGAATAGTAACCAATAGTTGAATTAAATGCCACCAGTAGATACCCACCACACTTAACCTAATAATGATGAAAAGTTGGCAAGGGTTGACTAAGACATCAACTACTAAAGCTTTTCTCCACCTTGTGGTAGGATAAGTAACATGGAACATAAGGCAATTGTATGGACGAAAAAATGGACAGCTTTTCTCAACTTTTTCCTACAATTTGTCTCAAAAACATTTCTTTTAAGACAGAAGAATAAAGATTGTAGCCCACAAAGTAGCGTTTATGAAGTTCTAACTCAAGAAATAGAAAAGTACAAGCTCAGCACAACGATTAGCAGAATCAATATTCACTTATTTGCATGAAACTAAATGGGAAAATAAGAAATCCAAGGGCATCAGGGAAGGTTGCAAATTATTGAATTTGAAGAGTTAACAATAATAACTTAGTAAGAATATTAAGAGATTGACGTGAAAGATAAAACTATTGAAAAGAATAAAACTAGTTTTAAAGTGATTGCCATTAAGTTTATTATTACTTTACCAGAGAGAATATAATAATTGGCAATTTGCACTATTCATAGGCAATGGTACATGGCACATTGCCCCCATGATGCAAATCAATTGATTAAGGCTTGAAATTAAATTTAATATTATGCATATATTATTTATTAATTTTCTTTATTTTAATATTAGTTTTAAATTTTGTGCCAATGCTATGTTGAATTACTTAGAAATCATGAATATCTGTTCTTTCTTTAGCATATTGAAGCAGTTGCTAAAACACTATTCAACTAAATTATAGCAAAGATTAGCCGCAGTTTTTTATGCAGGATTGATCTAGGTTACAAGGGAAACAGTAAACCAGATTTACATTGCCTCTTGTTAAGTTTTGTAGCACTAACTAAGACAATTCTTTTATATTTTCTTACACAAATTATTCTAAATCAATTTTTACTTCTTCCTTCACTATTGTTCTTAACACATTTCATTAGAAATTTCATAAGAAAAAACATGATAAAAAACATGTTGTATTCATTGAAAAATACTCCTTCAGCAGCCCCATAGTGTCTTTAATTTCCTAAAGCAATATTTAATCACTTAAGCATTATCATGATGATGTATCTTTCAATCTAGTAGCCTTTATAATTAGATGTATTTTTATTAGTAATTTTTAATATAGTATGACATACTTACAAATAGCACACACCATGCCATACACTATGCACTATGGCTACATGAGGACCTTCACACAATGATGCCTACACGCCACTAATAACTATAGTCATAAATGGGTATATAGGTTCTTATAAGAAGTGTTATAAAATGATTCATCAATCAGTATAAAGTAGGAGACAGAAATTTGATTGAGGAAATTATACTTGATTTCATGATAGCATATGACGTTATAGTTGCAGACACATAAAACAAGAAACAAGATGACCAATTAGTGATGCAATCAAGGATTTTCATTCTATGTTTTATTTTTCTAAGTTTTGGACTCTATGTCATTCAGACTCTGTTTTTCTTTTATTTTGGTTACCCTATGATGGAAGGCAACTGATGATCATGATAGGTTTGTGCACTTAGGAATGTCTCTGCCTATCATTCACCTTGTTTCTTTGGTTTTTCCCTTGGTGGGCTGCTGGTTTGTCCCCTCGTAGGCCTTGTTTTCCTCAATTTTTTCCCTTGGCAGCTGTCCCCTCGGTTTGGGCAGCTGTCCCTTCAGGTTTTGTGCCCATTAGCTGTTGTGTTAATGCCTTGTTTTCCCCCTAGCTGCTGTCCCTTCAGTCCTTGTTTCCTATCCCTTTGATTTTTGTGCCCATTAGTTGTTGTATTAATGTCTTGTTTTCCCCCGAGCTGCTGTCCTTTCGGTCCCTGTTTGTTGCAGTTTTCAAGGGAATTCTAATGGTTGTTTGGGTTGTGCTTTAATTACCTTGCATTAAATATTTTTTTCTCTTTTTCCCCCCGAAGGCAGTTTTTGAGAAGAATTTGCATGCAAACCTGCGGGTTGTTCTAGCTTGCGAGCTAGCCTCCTTTCCCCTTCCCCTCTATTACTTCGTCTCGGTCATATACCTCTTCTTCTCTATCCACGATTCCTGCCCCATCTATATCATTCTTCTCTTGTGAGTTTGGTGGTGTATGCTGCCACATTTTGGTTGGTATTTATAGGATCATTCTAGTGGTAGATTCTAGGTTAGATCTATCCTTTGAGCGCCTATCCTTTATATTTCGAGCATTGCATGTAAGGTGACCGCTTGTTGGTTGTTCTGAGGGTAGTCTTGTTGCTATTTCTTTATGTTAACGGATTTTCTAAGGCGCTTTATAGAGCTTGTTCCTACTTTTAGTTTTATATGCTGATGTTTATGCTTTATAGAAAGTAAAAAATTTTCTAATTGCTTTCTTAAGTATTCTCCATAAATTATTTAGAAACTTATGTTACATCAATTTGGTATCAGAGCCCTTGGTTGTCATTCTAGTCTTCCTTTCTTCTTTATAAAAATATGGATAATCAACAAGCTGAATGGAAATGTATGTTTACGCAACAACTGGTTAAACTACAACAACAATGACCAATACCCTGGTTGCACTAAGTCCAAAAGGCAAACCTATTTTGAAATAAAATATGGGATCCAATAAGGTGAAATCTATATTCCAACGAGTAGATTATAGTTGTATGCAAAACTCACTTTGGAGAACGCCTATTGATGAAGTTGGTTCATCAATTAATCCTGATCAGTTCATAATCATGGTAGTAAGTTGTCGTGTTTTCCTCCTGCGAAGCAACATCCTAAAAAAAGAAGAAGAAATGCAGCCAAGCTATACTCTTCAAGATGCTCTGTTTACCATTTATCCAGTCAAAAATATTGTGGATAAATTTGAGACTCAAACAATAGACAAAGTTGAAGTCCCGTATAGGAAAAATGGAGAAGTTGTTATTTTTTAAAGGCAATCTGATGAGGCAACGTTACAATATGTTGATCAACCTGTCAGGTGCAAAATGTTGTTGAATGAAGTAAACATGAAATAAGAAAAGGTGAGGCAGCCAGAAGAACACCAATTGGGAACAACGACAATAGAGGAAGCTGTTGATACAAACTTCATAGCTCATCATAATATTGAAGGGAAAATGCAGCTTATAGAGGATGAACAACTTGAATTGATAAATCTAGTTGCGTCATGTAAAGGTTTATCATCCATTATTTTCCTTGACAAGGATCCTTTGGTTAGCAGTATTCTATCAAAAGATGTTGAACTCTTTGAAAGAGTTGGTTCAATCACATATCATGTAAAGTCTTATTTTGAGAAAAATCCTTTCATTGTTGAGAAGATATTAATGGGCACTGCTAAAAGCATACAGTTCTGTGGGACTTTGCCCCTTACTGTTCCTAATGATGTTGTGGATATCTGTACAACCAAAACAAAATATGGAGTACACCAACAACTCTTGGTTAGATGGAATGGACGCCCCCCTGACTGACTGTTGAAGATTAGAAGTTGCAGCATTAATATCCTGATACGTACCAGTGGATGATTAAGAATTTCTCATCAGGAGATGAGATTCTTCCGCCTAGGAAAAATTGATGAAATCAAGGATTTTCATTCTATGTTTTATTTTTCTATGTTTTGGACTCTTTTTTTTTTATATATATGCTATAATGGAAGGCAACTAATGATCATGCTGGGTTGGTATACTTAGGAATGTCTCTCCCTATCCTTCACCTTGTTTAATTGGTTTTTTCCTTGGTGGGCTGCAGGTTTGTCCTTTTGTGGGCATTGTTTTTCTCGATTTTTCCCCTTGTCAATTGTCCCCTCGGTTTGGGCAACTGTCCCTTCAATTTTTGTGCCCATTAGTTGTTGTATTATTTCCTCATTTTCCCTTAGCTGCTATCCCTTCGGTTCCTATTTGTTGTCCCTAAGGTTTGGATAGCTCTCCCTTTGATTTTTGTGCTCATTAGTTGTTATATTAATACCTCGTTTTCGTCTAGCTACTATCCCTTCAATCCATGTTTGCTGGTTGTTTGGGTTGTGCTTTAATTACCTTGCATTAAATATTTTTTGTCTTTTTCCCCCTATATATAGTAATTGTTTTCCAACAGTTGGAGTCCGTTTTTGTGAAGAAATTACAAGCAAACCTGCGGATTTTTCTAGCTTGCGAGCTAGCCTCCTTTCCCTTTCCCTTTATTACTTCGTCTCGGTCTTCTAACTCTTCTTCTCTATCCACGATTCCCGCCCCATCTGTATCCTTCTTCTCTTGTGAGCTTGGTGGTGTCTGCTGCCATGTTTAGGTTGGTATTTGCCGGATCGTTCCAGTGGTGGATTCCAGGTTAGATCTATCATTTGAGCACCTATCCTTTATATTTCGAGCATTGCATGTGAGGTGACCGCTTGTTGGTTGTTCTGAGGGTAACTTTGTTGTCATTTCTTTATGTTTACGAATTTTGTAAGCCACTTTCAAGAGCTTCTTCCTACTTTTAGTTTTATATGTGGATGTTTCTACTTTATTGAAAGGAAGAAGTTTTCTAATTGCTTTCCTAAGTAAGTGTTCTCCATAAAATATTTAGAAACTTAGGTTGCATCAATTAGTTACTTATAAAAGTTGAGAGATTAAATAAAGTGCACAAAGAAATGGTAAGCGAATTATTTTTATTGATCTTAAGACGGTATATGATCATGTATCAAACTAATTGATTTAGTTCACATTAAGAAAAAAAAACTGTTGGTGTCAAAGCTATGTTAAAATTGTTAAAGATATATGGGATGGAGTATAGAAAAATTTTTAAAAGTACTTTTGAAGTGGCCAAGGAGTTCTTAATCGCAGTAAAGTTACATCAATGATCAATATTAATTGTGCATATTTTTATATTAGCAATGGAGATGCTCGTGAATGGAGAATAAAGATTCATAAACATAGCCCAAAGTACTCAGGATAATGACAATGATGATGATGAGTTTGGATCATTCATGAAGGAAGATAATAATTATCAACTTGTGTAAGATAGGCACAATATAAACAAGAACACATAAAAACCAAAGGATTTTTGAACCCAAGAAAATTTATATTGATTGCACCAAAACATGATAATTACACCCAGATCACGTTGGAAAATGATATTTTAATTAGGTTTTGACGAATTATAAGGGTTACATCAACCTTAGTAATTTTTAAAAAGCTTGTGTCACCCCCTAATAAGTTCACTAAAGTTGTACCCAACCCCAATAATTACACTAGGCTTCAAAAGAATTATAAAGTTTCATTGACCAAAGTAAATTACTTAGGTTGAAACAAAATATGGACATTTTATCAGGATTGTGCTAAAGCAAGAATTCTACCATGCTTTTTTTAAACACGAAGGATTGTTCAATCCATTCTAGGACTTTGGTTTGGGTAACAGAATTCTTTGTTTGACAACAGAGTGTGTGTGTGTGAGAGAGAGAGAGAAAGAAAGAGAGAGAGAGAGAAAGAGAGAGAGAGATTCATCTAAGATCTTTGAGTGAACCTTCATTTATCTTTAGCCATTTGACTGTTCTTTGGTAGTCCCCTCCGAGTTAAATTTTCAAATTTTTACAAAAGTACTTATTTTCCATATAAACATACCATTATCTGCTTTCTCTCGTGAATGCCACGAGTCGTAGATACTGTCCGCGGTTCCAACCCAAACCCCCTTCTCCCACTCACCCAACCTTCCCTTAATCTAGTGCGTGGTAAAAAGAGATATGACAACCCCAATCTAGAAACTACTGTGCATAAAAGAGATAAAAAACGAATGCATTTAAAGAGAAAGGGAAAGATGACCTGGGCGAGTTTGGCCATCTCAGACTGTTCATCAGCGGTAGGGTAACCTGAGGTTGGGGCCGACGCTGGAGCAGCGCGTACAGAGAGGGGGGAAAACAAGTGTGAGAGCGATACAAGAGAGGGGCAAAGATGAATCCGCTGCCTTTGGGAATGGGAGGTCATAGAGGTAGTGTCGCTAAGCGATTGCACAAGCCGACGTGAACGCGGCAGAAGAGAGGGGTATGGATGAATCTGTCGACTATTAGGATGGGAGGACAGGGAGGTAGTGGAACTGAGAAAATGAGCGACCCAATGAGGATGCGAAAGTGGAGGAGCAGCATAGAAAGCCGCCGCTACACGCGACGGCGACGGCGAGGGAATCAGCAGCATCTGCATCAGCTGTGCCGGTCAGTGGAGCTTCGAATTTGTGTTTGTACTCCTAGTCCAATAGTCGCAATACGCCCGCAATACGCCAAGCCAAAATGTAGAGTGGGGGCTTCCGCTAAGGAGAACTTTTTTTTTAGAATATAGAGATTTAATTTTTTTATATTTAATTGAGAATAAAATAAATAAATTTAAATCATTTCTCAAAGAAGTTTATAACATCTCTTATGAATTTAAATAAATTCTTGAGCCTTGCACCCCCAAGCTCCACTCGACCTCGTGTAGGGGTGTCAATTACGGGTCACAGGTAGGGTTTGGGTCGAACCCGGAACTAATCAGTCACTATATGGGTCAACTCAAATCTGACACGTTTTTGTAAACGGGTCAGTTTTTCGAACTCGAACCCGACTCGCTTCTGGTCTGGGTCAACCCGACACGACCCGAATGCGACTAAAAATTGCTAGTTTTTTAGTCAAAAAATAGGTCAATTTCATATTTTCGAGTCAAAATGGGTTTAAAATGTGTCAATTTCATGTTTACAAGTCAAAAATGGCTTTTCGGGTAAAAAAAAGGTCAATTTCGAGTTTCTTGATTAACCCAAATCAAATCCGATTTTTGAAATAGGTCGATTTGTTGAACCCAAACCCGACCCGTTATCGGTTCGGGTTGACCCTAACATGAAATTTTCGGGTCGGGTTCATGTCAGATTTTTCGGATCGTGTCAAATATTGACACCCATATCCTCGTGACATCTTATCCTTACCTGACCATATGACTTCATTCATATTCATATTATAAAATAGATATCTCGACATTTTTGTGTTGAATCTATGTATATATACCATGTGTCTTTGAAACCTTATTGCCTTTCCATGCATAAAATATAACTCCTCATGTCTTCATAGACCCAAAGTATAAATAACCCCCATGAAGCTTGTCGCCGCCCCTTTTGACATCATCCTCCACATGAGCATCGTGTGCCCTAACTGTTGAAGTCCATCTTCGAGACCTGCTAAGAAGAAAACAGAGAATTCAAGCAAGGAGAAGAGAGCTAGCTTTTATAGAGAATGGCCATTGATCTCGTATTCATCTTTGTGAAATAAAGGCAAGTATATATGCCTAGTACATACTGAGAATAACGGCTAAAGCCTGCTGTAGCAGCAGCAGCCTGAGAAGAGCAGAGGAGTTGAACCTTACTCAAGTTGACATTGAGTAGAACAGGATAAGTAATAAATGCTGAGTGTATACTCTAACATTGCAGCCTTGCAGGTATTTTAATATTTATAGGTGATTGGTGAATGATGACTTAATGAGAATTGAGATATCAGCCCACATGCGTCAGGAGACAACCATGGGAGTATGGGACTGAAAGATAGAAACTAAGAGTGCAAGAGATATAGGGAACCATTAATCTTTATAGTTTATACTTATTTTAGACTTTTTATTTGTTTAAATGTTTAGTTAAGTACTTAAGTTGTAATACTTGTATACTTGTAAATGTTCTTTGTAAATTTGTAATATATTTTTTAACTTGAAATTTGTAAGTTGTATTGTTATAACTTGTAATAAATTGTGATTTGTGAATGCATTTAAAATTTTATTATTTCTCTTATATTCAAATATTCAATAATTTGCTCAAGTAAAAAAGAAAAAAAATTTGGGAAAAATTTTCTGGCGGGTTGGCGGGTCGGGTCGACTAGGGTCTGGTTCAGCCCGGGTCGGGTTCGGGCTCTGATTATGAACCTGTTTAGCTAAACGAGTCGGGTTCAGGTCGACCCGTTTAATCCTGGGTCAAGTCGGGTCGACCCGAACCCGACCCGTGAACCCGAATTGACACCTCTAATTTCTGGAGATAAAGAAGAGCTGGTGGAAGATGTCGGGTTGGGTAAATTTTCTGTGGAGGAAATGGGTAGAGGAGATGTATGTGGCTGAGAATCTGGAAGAGCGGACTGAGTGGGAAACAGAGAAGTTGGAAGGAATGGATTACCTGAAGCAGGTAAGGATGTTGGAGTTAATAGAAACGGGTTTTGAGGTGGATTGAGTAAGATATTGGAAGATGATTGAACAGTGGGCTTGAAAGGAAATATGTGTTCATAAAATTTAACATGATGAGAAACATAGATGCGATTTGTATGGGAATTTAGACAACGATAACCCTTATGAGAAGATGAGTAACCCAGGAAAATACACTCTTGAGAACGAGGTGATAGTTTATTGGTATAGAGGGGTTGAAGCCAAGGAAAGCAAAGGCATCCAAATGTTCTTAAGTGATTGTATGAGGGTAATTTACCATGTAAAAGCTGATAAGGAATTTTAAGATGACAAGCTGTTGTGGGCAAAATATTTATTAGATAATTAGAAGTTAAAAGCGCTTCAGCCCAAAAGATATTTAGAAGGTGAGCAGTGTGAAGAAGAGCACGTGTAGTTTTCGAAAGATGACGATGTTTGCGTTCGGCAAGACCGTTCTGCTCAGGTGTATAGGGACAACTAAGTTGATGAGTAATACCATGTTGACTTAAATAATTTCGAAAAGGATTGCTTATGTACTCTACACCACCATCTGTCCTCAAGGTTTGAATGGATGTATTAAATGAAGTTTTAATAAGTTGGTGAAAATGTTGAAATTTAGAGAAAGATTCATCTTTAGAGCGCAAAAGGTATATCCAAGTGTATCTCGTGGAATCATCTATAAACACAATGTAATAACGAAAACCATTAAACGATTAGACAGGAGCTGGTCCCCAAACATCAGAATGTATTAATTGAAAGGGTTTGAGTACATGACTAGAAGAGGGAGTAAATGATAACTTATGACTCTTGGCCACATTACAAGACGTACACATAAAACTAGAAGAGGGAGTACATATAGATGGAACTAAATTAGAAAGACATTATAAAGTCCTAAGATTTGGATGACCAAGCCGTGTATGCCATGGCTGGATAGTGCTGACCGAAGATTGTAAAGCTTGAGAAGAACCCGTGGAGACATGTGGAACAGGATAAAGACCATCTCGCGAGCGACCATAGAGAAGAGTACTATTGTCCGAGAGATCCTTAATGAGGAAACCATGAGCATCAAACAATATAGAACAATTGTTATTGGAGGTTAGTTTGTGAATTGAAAGAAGGTTATGAGAAAGAAGTGGAACGTGTAAAAGATTTTTGAGACGGAGCTTACGATTCGGATCACGGTAAGATTCCTTGCCCAGTATTCTGAATGGGAAGAGTATTCCCGCTGGCAACAGAGATAGTATCAGCTCCAAAATACGGTGTGGATTATTGGAGCTGTGTAGCATCAGGCATCAAATGTGATGTAGCACCGGAATCTAATACCCATTCGGAGATTGGGGTAGTCACGCTGCTGTTTGAATTTGTAAGATAGGCACGTTGATTTGCAGTCGAAGTAGTCGGAGCGTATTGCATATTGCAACGGTGCCAACAATTCAATGCAACATGACCAAGTTTTCCACAAATTTGACAAGTCGGACTACTTGCAGCTGGAGCAGGTGGCCGACTGCTGTTATAATTTGGTGTAGAAGGAATGTTTGGTCCAGAAGAACCTGTCCTGAAGGGAGCTCCTCTTCTGCATTCTCTGGAGGAAAATCTTCCACTGGATGTGTTAGAACGTGACGCCCACAGTGCAGTGTGATCTGAAGGAGTTGGAACTTCCTTTTGCTGCTCATTTTGTAAGTTGATTTCTTCACTACACAAGAGTGAATACAAGGCATCAAGAGTGATTGTTTGCTGGATTATCCGAATGCCAGATTTGAAGGGATTATAAACGGATGGCAATCCATTCAATGTATGCAGTATAACGTCTTCAACATCAATGTGACCTCCAGACGAAGATATGTTGTCCACAAGAGCTTTAACTTGAGCAAGGTATTGAGTCATAGTAAGATCTTTCATTTGAATATGGTGTAATTCATTTTAAGCTGAATTGCACGAGAACGATTCGTAGGCTACAGTCGTTTCTCTATGCCCAGATCTCATGAGCGGTAGACAAGGAAATGATCTACGGAAGAACCGAAGGGGAAATAATGGACAATAAAGCGGAAACAATATTTTGATCAACCTGTTTCCAGATACGTAGATCGTCAGTATTTGAATCGGTGGAAGAAGCAACTGGGGGGTGATGCTTCCAGTCAAGAACCCTTCGAATCCATTTGCAGAAAATAGCTTGAATACTTGAAGACGCCAAATGGGATAGTTCTCATTTGTAAGCGAAGTAGAGACAATGTGCTTCAAGTTACTCATAAGAAACTTTAGAGAAGAAGAAACGACGAACTCTGTCATCGCTGCAGACAGAGACGACGAAGCCGCAGGAGCTGAGGCGGAAGATCCTTGCGATGCCATTAAAGGAGATAACCTAAAGCTCTGATACCATGTTGAAGTCCATCTTCGAGACCTGCTAAGAAGAAAATAGAGAATGCAAGCAAGGAGAAGAGGGCTAGCTTTTACAGAGAATGGCCATTGATCTCGTATTCATCTTTGTGAAATAAAGGCAAGTATATATGCCTAGTTCATACTGAGAATAATGGCTAAAGCCTGCTGTAGCAGCAGCAGCCTGAAAAGAGCAGAGGAGTGAAACCTTACTCAAGTTGACATTGAGTAGAACAGGATAAGTAATAAATGCTGAGTGTATACTCTAACACTAACTACCTGAAAATACTTGTTCAAAAATATGCTAACATAAATAGTTAGATAGGGTTTACTTTTAACCAATCAAAAAATTAATAATTTTGTGAATTTATTTGACAATGAATTAAATAATTATGATTATTTCATATTCAACATTTTTACTTCTAATATATTTAAAATACACTTTGCTTATATACAATGCTTAACTCTCTTAGGCTAACCTAACTCAAATAATCTCAAATGTGTTTATTCATTATTTTTCTTGGTAATTCTTATATAATAGTACACAAAATGATGTAGAATGAGGTTACTAGTCTAGCACACAATTGAATTTATATATTGTTATGAGAGTTTTCTCTCTCTCTCTCTCTCTCTCTCTCTCTCTCTCTCTCTCTCTTTCCGAAAGTTGCAATTTGCATTAAAAGATAAAGAAAATTCAAGCAACTAAAGATAGTAATCACACTCCA